TGTATTAGACATAATTGAAATACATTACTGGAATATAAGGATACATGAAATGAAATTGATAAGCAAAGATGTTGTATTGTTGTGTGTGTTAAACAGGATTTGCATGTTAGGCCTAAGTGCTCTATATATAGAGTCTTCTTTGTAGCAGTTGGAAATGTGGCGGTTCAACAGCTTCCACTTGGCTTGTCTTCGAACTGCCAAGTGTCCCATGTTCTTCGCAGTTGTCCTTTATTTTTTATATCCACCTTTTTGTATTTTCTTATTCCTTAGAGTTCTTCTGCTGCATGACTTCAACCATGTCCCTTGAAACCTCCACAATTCTGAGTAGTGGGCAGTTTTGGTTCTACTTAAGGTCGATCATTCCACCTGGCCTTTCCATAGAACACCATGTGTCCCATGTCTTTCTTGTTCTTCCTCTACGTGCATAAATTCTTCTTCAATTTCCATCTAATGCGTTAGTATTTGGCCAAGTGTCCCACATTTTTTATGATTTCCTTCCTTACCCAAAATCCTTCTTCCCATGAAATTCTGAATTACATATGTCTCATGCGTATATGTGTCTGCCATTTGCATATCCACGTTCTCCTCAACTTAGGTAACTCCTTTTTAGTTAGACATTCTTTCTGGTACACTTCTATTGCATCATGCACTCCATTATTTCAGCGACTTCATTTCTGCATGTATAGATTTGATATATATATATATATATATATATATAAAATTTTGCACCTCCCAATTTTTGAATGATATATCACCAATGTCCCCTTCTTTAAGAGCTTTGTGTTAACTTGGTCTGAAGAATGGAAAATGGCTAAATGATTGCTAGAACTTCCCTATAAAGTAGGAGATAATTTTACACCACATTCCCCCTTTTCTTTACTTGGTCAACTTAGGCTTGCCATGTTTTAGAAGTTTCCATCTGCATAAGGATTCTGATAACACAAATGGTTTCCTTCTATAAACCTAATTCTTACAAGAATTGATATATCATGGTAAGTGTAATACCCCGTAATTTTAAAGAATGTATTTAAATTAATCTTGTGTTAGGTTAATTAATTTTATTTATTTGTGCATACTACATTATTATATTAAGTTCATTTAATTGTGCATGTAAATTAATTGTGTATGTTAAAATAGTAAATTTATTCATTTAATTATGCATGTATTATTAATAATAATTTCATTTGTTGGTTATGCTTAAATTAATCATTATTAGTTAATTAAAGTATTATATTGGTGTTATATAGTATTATGATGATATAATGTATTATTTTGTAATAATAATAATTATATTAGTTTAATAATAATAATAATAATAATAATATAATAATAATAATAATTATTATAAAAGTTTATTAATAATAATATTAGTAATAATAATAATAATATTTATAATAATAATAATAGTATTAAACCAAAGTCATGATGAAATTAGAGATTAGGATAGGATTGCATCAATGGTTATGGTTGGAATTAAAGCCATATAGGTAGGAATATGAGAAATGGGTGAGAAGTTATTATAAATTAGATATTTGTAATATTTATATTATATATTTTGTCTATAAATTAACTAGCTTGCCTTAGAAAAAAATAAAGGGAGTTAGAAGCAAAGTATAAATTCTAGAGAGCTATTTTATAAGAGTGAAAGGAAAAGAGAAAGAGAAAGAAGCTTGGACCGGTGTAGGCAATTTTACCCGACTACGCGCAGACCGGCGGATTTATTTTAAATCCAAAAAGGCAAGTTATTATCTACTTTTCCCCTTTGAATTAATAAATTAATTGTTTAGTCTATTTTTATGCATAGAGCCAAGGTTAGGAGGTTGATAAATTATTAATTTTATTTTATTAAATTAATGGAATTTTAATTATATAGGATGGTATATATTTATTTAATGTCCTATGAATTTAATAATGGCTAAAAATAATTAAATAAGACTTTAGGGATTTTTCTAGAATTTTCTAGATTTTTCCGGGCATTTTCTGCAATTTCCGGCGACCTTCCGGCGAGTTTTCCGGTCGCCGGCAGTGGGGGAGACGACCGGAGTGATCCGGTGCGACGCGGCGCACCATAGGAGGGTGTACGCGCGCATCCTGGCCATTAGTGGAGTCTGATTGATCCGGTGCATCGCGGTCCATGATACCGCGGTACACCCGGATCTGTGGGCGTTGGATGGAGGGAAGATAGGGTGAGATGATCCGGTGTGGCGCGCATGTAGGAAGGATGATGCAGCCAACCAACCGGAGAACGCCACGTCAGCAGGAAGCCATCAACGCGCGCGTGGCAGCGCGTGCGCGCGCGTGGGACTCTCCAAACGCGCGTGGGAGCGCGTGTGCGCGCGTGGCTGACGCCAGACGCGCGTGGGAGAGTGGGAAAGCTTGGCGGCGCGTGTGGGGAACTCTGGGAGGCGCGTGGGGGCGCGTGAAGGGCCTCTACGGCTGCTGGAAAAGTCCAGAATACCCCTAGGGACTGTTTTGTCATTACCAGGACCTTCACTATACATTTTGGGGCCTCGGGTTGGCATTTTTGGAATTAACGGGACATTATATTATTATTTTATTTCTCGTTAATTATTATAAATGTCCGATTAATATTTCTAAATATTAATTGTATCAGTTAAAGTGCGAATCGCTAGTAAACATATGTAATTGATTTAACGACTATTAATGGTATTATTTTATTAAACTGTAATAACCATTAATGTTAAATTAATTAGTGCGTGGTTTTCTTCATATAAATAACCCATTATATATTATGGAATATTTATACTGTTAATCGTATATAAACCATGATTATTATGCTGTGTGCATTTCAGGGAATAAATGGACTGTTTATTATGTCGCATTTATATTATATGGATGTGTTGCCATATAGAACCATGTGAGCTGACTAATAAGTTTAGACTCATTTATACCTTATGCATTCGTTGCGATAGACAGATGTGTGGCTGTCGGGGTATGTGGTTTAATATTATTGGCATGTGTTGCCTAATTGACATACTCGGTATATTTCTTAATATTGTTGGCATGTGTTGCCTAATTTATATGCTCAGTATATTCATCAGTACTTTGCGAGGTGTTATCACTGTGTAGTTCGTTATAGTCTGTGTTGTCAGTACCGTGCACCATGTATAATAGCTGATTTCCCGGGTAGGGAAAGGCGACACTTAACCACCTAGTGTGAGTCTAAGTGATCACCGTCTATTCTGGTTGAGGTCATGTTATACATCGGATAGTTCCCATAGGATGTATACAGATATAGTACTCATCCGATTCATAATGATTAATTTATTGGATTCTCTGATTTGGGTCATAGTAGAGAGGACTTGCTCGTGGGGTTGACCCACCATTGTTGTTATTTCAGGATATGGTCAGTATCCGTTTCAAGGCTGAGGTTAGCAGTGTGGGACCATCATCCGAACTCATCTACTCCTACGATCCAGTGCAGGGTAGAAGTTTTATGTAGTATTTCAGTTTCAGTTTTTATTTACTTTTGACGTTGAACTCTCAGGGTTATATTTAGGGATCCCTGACGTAGGATTTCCAAGTTGTAATGAAGTACTGTATTAAATAAAGGATGGATGGATGTTGTATTATTTAGTGTTCCTTTCCGGTCTAAATTCTTTTATTATCATCATTTTGTATTCCATGCTTGTATATTGCCAATTGTTTTTGATATCCCTCGTTTTTCGTGTATAAGCCTGATCAACTTATGCGTGGAAAATGTGGGGGTGTTACTGTTGGTATCAGAGCATTCCAGGTTCGAGTGTCTTAGGGATCTGTGATTACTATACTTCCGCGTTGTGTATTCTGATAATTAGAGCCTAAGTATTAGGGTTCTTTGTATTCTTTTAGTCGGTCCATTATAATGTACTGACGTTAGATTTTTTCTGAATTTAATAGAAGGATGTCTCGGCGTGGGACAAGGAATGCGAACCGTCATCGCAGTATTTCCCCAACTCAAAATGAGAATCAGGAATTTTCTCCTCAAGTTGCTGACATCATTGCACGAGCTGTGGCAGCAGGAGTAGCATCTGCTCTACGAAACCAGCAACCTCCTCCGATAGTACCTGTTCCTGAACCAGTGGCACAGCCAATGTCATGGGACAAAGTTCGTCACTCGTTCATCCGGGGAAATCCACCAACGTTTGCGGGGTCCACAGATGTCCTGTTAGCATATCAGTGGAAACAGGAGAGCGAGCGTCATCTTCGGATGGTAATCTGTACCGAAGTGCAGAAACAGATGCTAGCTACGTTTATGTTGATAGGCAATGCATTGCAGTGGTGGGAGTCTATTACTACTGTCGATGAGAGGACCAGATTGACATATGCTGAATTTCAGACTCGCTTTGACGGCAAGTATTTTCCTATGTCAGTAAGATCAGCGATGAAGACCGAATTTCTGGATCTGCAACAGGAAGATCTGACTGTGGCTGAGTATGAACAGAAGTTCATAAATTTGTCATTATTTGCACCAGAGGAGGTCAATACGGAAGAAAAGAAGAGAGACCGCTTTGTGAAGGGGTTAATATGGCCGATTAAAGTGGTGATCTTAGGTAGTCCGGCATATACTACTTATATCCAGGTGGTTAATGCCGCCTTACAGCACTGCCAGATGAGGAGTGATTACCGGAAGTCCAAGGGAGATAAACGGACTAACCGAGACTACCAGACAGAGGAGAAAGGAAGCAGCAGTGGTGCCAAGTCCAATGATCGGGGCAGAGTTCAAGGACATCAACCTTGGAAGAAAAACAAAGGAAACCTAGATGTGCAGAGGGAGGGAGTCCCTAATCAGGGTAGACAAGGTGGGATACCTCAGACCGGACAGGAACAGTGGTCGGGAAATCAACAGAGAAGGCAGGCAGGTCCTTTTACGGGACGTTGTTATCACTGTAGAGAGATTGGGCATCCGGCCAAGATGTGTCCCAAAGCTAAGCAGGGACAGTATGGGCAGCCGAGACCTAATCAGCCATTACCTCTACCGGCCCCACCGATGCCACGTGGGCAAGTTCAGAATTTTCCGGCACTTCCAGCACCACCATTTCCTCCGGGACAACCTCCACAGCAATTGCATCATGGCAGAGTTTATAACTTCATGCCACATAATGCGCAGGCTCCTCAGGCTATTGAGGGTATGTTTTCTATACATGGTAGAACTGCTCGTATACTGTTTGACACTGGTGCATCACATTCTTTTGTGTCTAGATCTTTTGTTATCTTATCTGGTATGACGACTCAGTTATGTGACCAACCTCTTAATATTTATACACCATTGGGAGTTGGCGCAATTTTACGAGAGTATAGCGGTGATATCCTTATAGATATGGGCCGACTTCGATTTCTTGCAAATTTGTTAGTGTTAGATATGCATTCGTATGATGTTATACTTGGGATGGACTGGTTATCTCAGTACCATGCTCAGGTTAACTGTTACGAAAAGTCTATTGTATTTTCCATACCAGGACAGGAGATGTATCTTCTTGTTGTACCACAACCTGATAGAGGGCCTAGCACTTATTTATTCATTCTTGAGGAGGACTCACAGGAAGCGACTGCGGTATCTCTTGACAGCATCCCGGTAGTACAGGAATTCCAGGATGTATTCCAGGAAATTCCAGGCTTGCCACCGAGTCGAGAGATAGATTTCGTTATTGATTTAGCTCCAGGCACTACGCCTATTGCTAAGGTACCGTACCGAATGGCACCAGTGGAGATGCGAGAGTTGAAAGATCAAATTCAACAGTTGCTCAGCCAGGGATTTATTCGCAGGAGTACTTCACCATGGGGAGCACCAGTACTGTTTGTCAAGAAGAAGGATGGATCTCTTCGTCTTTGTATTGATTACAGAGAACTGAACAAGGTCACTGTTCGCAACAAGTACCCGTTGCCCAGAATTGATGACCTGTTTGATCAGTTGAAGGGAGCTACTTACTTCTCAAAGATCGATTTGAGGTCTGGTTATCATCAGCTACGAGTCAGAGAACAAGATGTTCCAAAGACAGCATTTCTCACGAGGTACGGATCTTATGAGTTTCGTGTTATGCCTTTCGGTTTAACGAACGCTCCAGCTGTCTTTATGGACTTGATGAATAGAGTATTCAGAGAATACTTAGATCAGTTTGTCATTGTTTTCATTGATGATATTCTGGTTTACTCCAAGTCGGAGAAGGACCATGCCAGACATTTACGCACAGTATTGCAGACACTTCGAGAACATCAGTTGTTTGCGAAGTTTGAGAAGTGTGAATTTTGGCAGAAAGAGGTCAAATTTCTGGGTCATGTAGTGTCAGAAGAAGGGTTAGCAGTAGATCCAGCCAAGGTTGCGGCCGTTATGGAGTGGGGACAGCCTACCTCACCGACAGAGATTCGCAGTTTTCTGGGATTGGCGGGGTATTATCGCAGGTTCATCCAAGGATTTTCCAAAATTGCGGGTCCACTTACGCATCTGACTAAGAAGAATGTACCATTTGTATGGGATGATTCTTGTCAGACTGCTTTTGCTGAATTGAAGAGTAAGTTAACTTCTGCACCTGTCTTAGCCACACCTCAGAGTGGAATCGAGTATTTAGTATTTACCGACGCTTCTCTGAAGGGTTTGGGTTGTGTGTTGATGCAAGAAGAGCGACCAGTTTCTTATGGGTCTAGGAAGCTTAAGCCTCATGAGCTTAATTACCCGACTCACGATCTAGAACTCGCAGCAGTGGTTTTTGCCTTGCGTATTTGGAGACATTATCTTTTGGGGGAGACTTTTCGATTGTTTAGCGATCATAAGAGTCTACAGTATTTGTTCACACAGAGGGAACTAAATATGAGACAGCGCAGATGGTTGGAATTCGTGAAAGACTATCACTTCTCTATTCAGTATCATCCAGGGAAAGCGAATGTTGTAGCAGACGCACTCAGCCGCCGACCATATGTCAGCCTTTCAGCTTTGTTTACAACAGAGTGGGATGCTTTGAAGACTGTTGATGAGTTAGCAGACGCTTTTATGGCATGTGTGGTAGTAACTCCTTCTATCATTCATCAGGTCATTCAAGCGCAACTCTCAGATCAACAGTGTATTGATCGGGTTTCGGAGTTAGCCTCCGGAGATGTTCCTTTTTATTCTATAGGGACTGATGGAGGATTGAGGTACAAGGGACGTTTAATTGTGCCTTCAGCTGATAATTTGAGAAATGTTGTGATGAGAGAGACACACACTTCTCAGTTCTCTGTACATCCAGGGGGAGACAAGATGTATCAGGACATGAAACGCCAGTTTTGGTGGGCCGGCATGAAAAGAGATATAGCTATCTTTGTCTCTAAATGTAGCACCTGTCAGATGATTAAAATTGATCATCAGAGACCGCCAGGATCGTTACAGCCACTTCCCATACCAGAGTGGAAATGGGAGAGTATTTCCATGGACTTCATAGAGGGATTACCTACTTCACAGCATAATCACAACTCTATTTGGGTCATTGTTGATAGATTGACCAAGTCCGCTCACTTTCTGCCTGTTCGTTCAAACTTTACGTCAGAACAGTATGCTAAGCTGTATATTGCAGAAATGGTGAAACTTCATGGTGTACCATTGTCCATCGTATCAGATAGAGATCCGAAGTTTGTATCAGGATTTTGGAGGAGCTTTCAGCAGGCTTTGGGTACAGAACTATATCTTAGCACTGCTTATCATCCTCAAACAGATGGACAGACTGAGCGAGTTAATCAGATTTTAGAAGACATGTTGCGGGCATGTGTTCTTGATTTTAAGGGCAATTGGGAGGAATATTTGCCGCTTTCAGAGTTTGCTTATAACAATAGTTATCAGAAAACTATTGGTATGGCACCATTTGAGGCTTTGTACGGTAGACCGTGTAGGTCTCCTGTCTGTTGGCTTGGAGTTGGCGAGAACAGCTTTCTGGGTCCTGAATTTATTAAGGACACGTCAGAAAAGATCGCTATCATTAGGGATCGGATGCATACAGCTCAAAGCAGACAGAAAAGTTATGCTGACCGTCGAACTCGTGCTTTGGAGTTTAAGGTTGGTGATCAGGTTTTGCTTAAGGTTTCTCCTATGAAGGGAGTAATGCGGTTTGGGTCAAAGGGTAAGTTATCGCCTCGTTTTGTGGGTCCTTTTATGATTACAGATCGGATTGGGGCAGTAGCTTATCGTCTGGCTCTACCAGATAATCTTCATAGGGTACATAATGTTTTTCATGTATCTATGCTGCGAAAATTTCTACGGGACGAAGATCGATATCAACACATTGATGTGGGTGAGATTGAGTTGCAACCCGATGCAACCTATTTGGAACAACCTTACTGTATTCTCGATCGTAGGAATCAGATACTGCGCACGAAGACTATTCCATTAGTACGTGTACAGTGGAGTCATCATAGTGCTACAGAGTCTACTTGGGAACGGGAAGATATTATCCGTGCCAAGTATCCAGAACTTTTTACTACAGGTATGTAGTGAATTTCGGGGACGAAATTCCTTTATTAGGGGGGGAGAATGTAATACCCCGTAATTTTAAAGAATGTATTTAAATTAATCTTGTGTTAGGTTAATTAATTTTATTTATTTGTGCATACTACATTATTATATTAAGTTCATTTAATTGTGCATGTAAATTAATTGTGTATGTTAAAATAGTAAATTTATTCATTTAATTATGCATGTATTATTAATAATAATTTCATTTGTTGGTTATGCTTAAATTAATCATTATTAGTTAATTAAAGTATTATATTGGTGTTATATAGTATTATGATGATATAATGTATTATTTTGTAATAATAATAATTATATTAGTTTAATAATAATAATAATAATAATAATATAATAATAATAATAATTATTATAAAAGTTTATTAATAATAATATTAGTAATAATAATAATAATATTTATAATAATAATAATAGTATTAAACCAAAGTCATGATGAAATTAGAGATTAGGATAGGATTGCATCAATGGTTATGGTTGGAATTAAAGCCATATAGGTAGGAATATGAGAAATGGGTGAGAAGTTATTATAAATTAGATATTTGTAATATTTATATTATATATTTTGTCTATAAATTAACTAGCTTGCCTTAGAAAAAAATAAAGGGAGTTAGAAGCAAAGTATAAATTCTAGAGAGCTATTTTATAAGAGTGAAAGGAAAAGAGAAAGAGAAAGAAGCTTGGACCGGTGTAGGCAATTTTACCCGACTACGCGCAGACCGGCGGATTTATTTTAAATCCAAAAAGGCAAGTTATTATCTACTTTTCCCCTTTGAATTAATAAATTAATTGTTTAGTCTATTTTTATGCATAGAGCCAAGGTTAGGAGGTTGATAAATTATTAATTTTATTTTATTAAATTAATGGAATTTTAATTATATAGGATGGTATATATTTATTTAATGTCCTATGAATTTAATAATGGCTAAAAATAATTAAATAAGACTTTAGGGATTTTTCTAGAATTTTCTAGATTTTTCCGGGCATTTTCTGCAATTTCCGGCGACCTTCCGGCGAGTTTTCCGGTCGCCGGCAGTGGGGGAGACGACCGGAGTGATCCGGTGCGACGCGGCGCACCATAGGAGGGTGTACGCGCGCATCCTGGCCATTAGTGGAGTCTGATTGATCCGGTGCATCGCGGTCCATGATACCGCGGTACACCCGGATCTGTGGGCGTTGGATGGAGGGAAGATAGGGTGAGATGATCCGGTGTGGCGCGCATGTAGGAAGGATGATGCAGCCAACCAACCGGAGAACGCCACGTCAGCAGGAAGCCATCAACGCGCGCGTGGCAGCGCGTGCGCGCGCGTGGGACTCTCCAAACGCGCGTGGGAGCGCGTGTGCGCGCGTGGCTGACGCCAGACGCGCGTGGGAGAGTGGGAAAGCTTGGCGGCGCGTGTGGGGAACTCTGGGAGGCGCGTGGGGGCGCGTGAAGGGCCTCTACGGCTGCTGGAAAAGTCCAGAATACCCCTAGGGACTGTTTTGTCATTACCAGGACCTTCACTATACATTTTGGGGCCTCGGGTTGGCATTTTTGGAATTAACGGGACATTATATTATTATTTTATTTCTCGTTAATTATTATAAATGTCCGATTAATATTTCTAAATATTAATTGTATCAGTTAAAGTGCGAATCGCTAGTAAACATATGTAATTGATTTAACGACTATTAATGGTATTATTTTATTAAACTGTAATAACCATTAATGTTAAATTAATTAGTGCGTGGTTTTCTTCATATAAATAACCCATTATATATTATGGAATATTTATACTGTTAATCGTATATAAACCATGATTATTATGCTGTGTGCATTTCAGGGAATAAATGGACTGTTTATTATGTCGCATTTATATTATATGGATGTGTTGCCATATAGAACCATGTGAGCTGACTAATAAGTTTAGACTCATTTATACCTTATGCATTCGTTGCGATAGACAGATGTGTGGCTGTCGGGGTATGTGGTTTAATATTATTGGCATGTGTTGCCTAATTGACATACTCGGTATATTTCTTAATATTGTTGGCATGTGTTGCCTAATTTATATGCTCAGTATATTCATCAGTACTTTGCGAGGTGTTATCACTGTGTAGTTCGTTATAGTCTGTGTTGTCAGTACCGTGCACCATGTATAATAGCTGATTTCCCGGGTAGGGAAAGGCGACACTTAACCACCTAGTGTGAGTCTAAGTGATCACCGTCTATTCTGGTTGAGGTCATGTTATACATCGGATAGTTCCCATAGGATGTATACAGATATAGTACTCATCCGATTCATAATGATTAATTTATTGGATTCTCTGATTTGGGTCATAGTAGAGAGGACTTGCTCGTGGGGTTGACCCACCATTGTTGTTATTTCAGGATACGGTCAGTATCCGTTTCAAGGCTGAGGTTAGCAGTGTGGGACCATCATCCGAACTCATCTACTCCTACGATCCAGTGCAGGGTAGAAGTTTTATGTAGTATTTCAGTTTCAGTTTTTATTTACTTTTGACGTTGAACTCTCAGGGTTATATTTAGGGATCCCTGACGTAGGATTTCCAAGTTGTAATGAAGTACTGTATTAAATAAAGGATGGATGGATGTTGTATTATTTAGTGTTCCTTTCCGGTCTAAATTCTTTTATTATCATCATTTTGTATTCCATGCTTGTATATTGCCAATTGTTTTTGATATCCCTCGTTTTTCGTGTATAAGCCTGATCAACTTATGCGTGGAAAATGTGGGGGTGTTACAGTAAGTTCCATGGAACTCGCCATGTGTCACTTTCTTATTGGTTTACAAACACCATTATCCCATAGACTCCATATAGTGGTAGCTGAGTAGTTACATGAGTCTTGCTTTGAATCATTGAGTAAGGTTGCATGTATAGTAATATTTCCATGTAATCTTTATTTCCAGATCATTAGGAAATTGTGGGACATTAATCCAGTGTGGTAAATAGTACAAGACTCGCCATATTCTTAACTTAAAGGACTCCATGTGACGAAATACGATTGGCTTAATGGTCTTTGCCTTGGATTACTATGTGAAGTCATTTATGTACTTCAATGCTTCAATGTGACCTTCATTTCCAAGCTTGCCGGAATTGTGATTCAGTGTAGCAAGTTCCATTAGAACTCGTCACATATATCCTCATTGGTAGACAACTTCTCTCTTGATTTTATCTTTGTGCGTGAGTCTATATGGCAGTACAGTATAAAGTCAACTTTAATGATGCTATAATATAATTTCATTTTCAAACAATAAGGCAATAATCCGGTGTCAACTTGCCATATGTCATCTTTTCATTGTTCCGAAAATAATGGGATAAACAATCGGTGACTCGTTGAGGTTGTGCATTGGACTAACAGGTTGGTCTAACCCAGCCTACTAGATTTCACTAGGTTTTTGAAGTCTTCATAGTCATCTAGAAATATCATATTCAATAAGGTCTTTGTGTGTTATGATTTCTTTTCTTGCTTTTTCTCCAGTCAATAGCATTAAATTTAATTCTAGTATTTTAGTGTGAGGAGTCTTTGCAGAAATTGAAAACTAAGGATATACATATCACATGATTTTTATTGAACAACCTTAATATGAATAATTTATTTGATGTATCTACATTCTTTCACAATAGTATAATAAGGCATAACCAACTCTGCAGGGTTGGCTTAGCAAGTAAGAATTCGGGCTTTGGTGTCTCATGAAGTATTAGGTCTCAGGTTTGAACTTCAATCGGGTAAATAATTTATATGTGGGTATCCACATAGGTTGAGTTGTAATCGGGCTTAGCCTTGAACTTGCCCAGTCTTGTCCGGTACACGTAACTTGTGGGGTGTTGCGTGTACGTATTCTAAAGTGAATTAGTCTCACTCATAAAGTGTAGGAATATCTTCCATGTGCCATCTTCTCCTTTCCATAGTCAAATGAATACATGTATGCGAGTAAAAATTGCTACGTGACAATCATCACAAATTAAAGTAACATACTAATACAAGAAATTAACTAATATTATATATATATTTAATGATAAGAAAATTGCACATCTATTTATTTCCACAGGAACTCCAACAATCACCTTCTATATTAGAAGATAAAAGAAATATCACTGGCTAAGTCTTTGGTAATTAAAAACTAATACTATAACATGATTTTTTTATTTTCTTGGATATTTTTGTTACCACGTTTTAGGATCTAAGCGTGCTGGCTAAATGGCAATGGAATATTATTCAATTTGATCAGTTCATGTAAATTTTGTAAACAGAATATAAAAAGCCTTCTATGATTTTGCTGTAGTAGATATTAAGAAATGAAAATTTTAAAACTTCGGATAACGCAGATGCCTGTGATGATCCCCCCCTGCCCGACTAATCGAATGTCATAAAATTTATTTACTCTTTAAAATTATTGAATAAATTTCATTGTCCATTTTAAGTAATTGAGCAATGATTTATGGATCGAAATCTAGGTGGGGTCCACTCCCCCTTCTCCCTATCACTACCGCCACATTTTAGTGGCTAAAGTATTTTCATAATTTATTATTTGACCGAGAAAGTTGTGCCAAAATGAAATTGAATATTTATTACTGCTATATATGTAGTAGGCTTGGGGTGAAATCTGTTCATCTGTCTACGGTTGTTGATTATGTTTGGGAGCAGAGCTTTGCTATCAATTTACTTAATTTGATCCTAACTAGTTGGTCTTATATTTTTACATCAACCCACGCAGGCACGCCTATCAGCCCAACACAATTTATAGGCGAACAAAAACTTATTCAGCAACTATATTTCAAAAATCACCAGTCAAATTGAATGGTTAAAATTCTTAAACTTGTCTCTCCATAAGCTCTGTTTAGGCCGATGCAATGGGCCTAGGGGACACGTGCCCCCTGGTCTTGGCTGGTCCTCTATCGTATATGTGATAAAAATATATATATATATTTTTTCATATATTTGAAAAAATTTATATAGTGTTCCCATAAATTTTGTGATTTTTAAAATTATCTCTTTATTTTTTCATTATTTTCTCTTTTACTCTTCAAAAACTTTAAATTTCCTTTAATAAAAAAAAAAAAAAGTTAAATTTTCCTTCCTCATTTTTCTTTTTTACTTCTACTTCTTAAAAGTTTTCTTGCATATTTGAATAATTTTCTTCTTCTTTTGTATTTTGTATTTGTTAAGCAAGGAATTTATACACGAATTAAATTATCACCGTTGGGTATAAAAATATAAATTACCTTTTTAACTGCCAAATAGAATCTGACGGTTAATACTTCAGGTGTGCATGCATTTTCTTGCACACCAGGAATCAAGAGAACAATTCTGTATATATATATATATATTCATACACAGCAAATTAGAGAATGGAAGGCACTGTTGTTGATGTCATTAGAAATGAAAACATTATTTGATACCCGCACTATTAGACGGGTTTCTTTAGTCTCCTCCCTATATTTCAACCGTAATAAATTAATTGTAAAAAAAAAAAAATGACAATAATAAGAAAGCACTTTTTTAGCACATTGATGAGAAGTTTGACCTTGTGCCTCATAAATTTATTGAGTGCTTTTATGATAATAAGTTGGTAATGTTGATTCATACGGAATGTTATATGAAGAGTAAAAAAGTTGTGACAATAAATTAATGTCATGCAAAAAATTCTCAATAAAAAAGTTGATAATACTTCGATTTTATTAATAATTGTCAATAAATCCAACTTATAATCTTTTTTACATGATATAAAATATTGGAGATAAGAAATCAATATTGTTCCAAGTCCATCCTCATGCCCATCATTGAATCTAAAACAACATTTTGGAATTGGTCATCTAATATCATCTTCAAGTTGATTTAGTGTTGGGCATTACTTAGTGACCTAGTTCGTAGTGCACCCACCTCCGAGCGGGCGTGATTGGGTGTCCAAGTGTTTGAGTCCCCCCTCCTTAGTTTGTCAGGAAAATAAAAAATTGATTCGCATATTAGAAAATTTTGACATTTATAATATTATTTTATCAATAAAAAAAAAGTACGGCAGCACGTAAGTTGGATTTATTGATACTTATCAATAAAATTGAAGTTGCAAAAATGTTAAGAAACAATATAGCTCCATTGTCCCAATGTATTAAACAACACAAAAAGAACCGTTAAGAAACAATCAACTAAATTAATATAACCATGAAACTTTGAATATATAGTAGATTAACTTTACTATAATACTACCTTGGTCTCATATTAGTTGTCCTTTTCAAAATCTTTGACTCACAATTTTTGTAAGTCAAAGTTACCAAAGTAGACATTTAATATGGGATATAGGTAGTAGATAAGTATATAAAAGGAATATGACTAAAAATGACCTCAAATGACTCAAAAATAAAAAGTGATAGTGAGTTAAAAATTTTAATTTATATAAGAGTGTGCACACAAATTTTGTAGTCAAGAACAAAATATAGAGCAAAAATAATATTTTATTAAACTGAAAAATTTGGAGTACAATCCTCGGTAATATTATTTACAAAGAATAAGGTCCTTTAATTCGATCTCCTTTTTTGTTAATTGGATCCAAGGGCTGCATGAGCTTGATCTTGAATCATCGTGGAATTTGAATGAAGAACAGCACGATTTGATGTGCTTGTTGTTGATTACCGTAAAATTTGATGAAGAACGGCACGATTTGATGTGCTTGGTGTTCTTCGCTTTTAGGTTTGGATGTTGGGGATGACTATTGGCAAAGTTTCTATATTTCTCTCTAGGATTCTGGATTTCTGAATTCTGAATTTGTGTGTCCCCTTCCTCCTTCCTCCAGACCTCTATTTTTAGGCTTATTAGATCCATAGGATGATGACATGTGTCATCTCCTGATAAGGATAAAATCATAACTGGGTCGTACCGGTTATATTATGATAATTATCCTTAAAAATAATTATTCCAAATATACTTTATTAGGAATAATTATCTTTTCATTTAATCATCTAAGCTAGGCAAATTAAATAATTTAAGTGGACCAAGCTTGGGCCAATTAAATAACTTAATTAAACATTAGACCCATATTTAATGGGTCAATTTATCAAAACAAAAATTTATTAAAATTTTAGTGTCTAAAAATTGCCCCCACTTCAAGCCTCAGGTTTGACAGGACTTGTCTCCTTTTTCAAGTGGGACTTGAAGTATCTAACTTGGTCTTTGAATTGTAAAAAGCTTTCCTATCCAACTTTGGTTATAATTTTACTTTCGCATTTGAACTGAATTATACAAATCCTAATACAGATAGGAGGTATTTTATTAAAATCCCTTTCCAATTTGAATTAAATTATACAAATTCTAATACAAATAGGAGGTATTTTGTTGCCTATATCTACCACCAATGTTATACGATTTGACATCAATTCCAATAACCTCTGAAGACTTGTCAGATTAGAACCTCTGAAGACTGTGTTGGATTGTGGCCTCTGCTCGAACAAATACCATAAATAATTGGTATGAATTTTCTTTTTTTCTTTTTTTTCTTTTTTTTTTATCGCTCTTTTTTTTTATTGCTCTTTTTTTTTCTCCTTTTTTTTCACGCATTTTTTTTTCTTTCCTTTTTTTTTATTTATTTTTTCCCTGGATCCACTGGTCCGTTGGAATGCATCTTTACTAG